TGTGTGTTTGTGTTTTCTTCTTGTAGACTATATATATATATATATACGTGTGTGTGTGTTTTTAGTATAGACACTGAAGCTTAAGAAACACATAATTTATTTCATACCATAACATTTTCGATTTACGTTACTTAAGAACAAGATTTTATATGAAGTTGCCTTCTTTTCTTGCAGAAATGCGGATGATTAAAAAGTATAGAACAAATAAAACTTTACAAAAATCTATCTACAGTATATTGAAATATGTTTTGTACAGAAATTGTGGGTTAATGGATGTTTATAAGGATTATTTACATATGCTAATACACTGATGTGCCGCGCAGAAGCAAGTCGGGTGCCACAGAGAACATGATGAACACTTATTTGATTCATAGATACTTATGTCTGAAGAAATATACTACACTTCTTTCGAATTTATCGTAATAACTTTACGAGTCTCTCATAACTATAACCCCATTTTGCCGATGAGGACGGAATTCTGGATTGGCCTAGGAGTAGTTTTAGTGCCTGTTGTTATACAAGGTTTTCTGTTTTCAAGAGCATAGAACGTTCCTTTCCTTGAAGGGTGGTGTCTCTTTGATTTACATCGTTTCTCAATGTCGCTATACAAATATCCTCAGAAAAAAAAAAAGGTTAGTACATTTCTTCAGATATAAGAGTCTGTGAATACATATCTACACATATATTTATATATACACACACACACATATATATAAATATACATCGACAATATATTTTCAGAAGAGTATGAACTATTACACAAATCAGCAGCTGAACTACAGAAAACGAGTAAAAATAACACTCACATAAAAAAAGTAAGTTTACTAACATAGAAAAATAAGTACGTTTACTAACATACAAAAATAAGTGAGTAAGTTTACCAACATACAGAAATAAGTGAGTAAGTTTACTAACATACAAAATAAGTGAGTAAGTTTACTAACATACAGAATAAGTGAGTAAGTTTACTAACATACTAAATAAGTAAGTTTACTAGCATACAGAAATAAGTGAGTAAGTTTACTAACATACAAAATAAGTGAGTAAGTTTACTAACATACAAAATAAGTGAGTAAGTTTACTAACATACTAAATAAGTAAGTTTACTAACATACAAAAATAAGTAAGTTTACTAACATACAAAATAAGTGAGTAAGTTTACTAACATACAAAATAAGTAAGTTTACTAACATACAAAATAAGTGAGTAAGTTTACTAACATACAAAATAAGTGAGTAAGTTTACTAACATACAAAATAAGTGAGTAAGTTTACTAAAATACAAAATAAGTAAGTAAGTTTACCAACATACAGAAATAAGTGAGTAAGTTTACTAACATACAAAATAAGTAAGTTTACTGACAAACAAAAATAAGTAAGTAATTTTACCAACATACAGAAATAAGTGAGTAAGTTTTCTAACATACAAAATAAGTAAGTAAGTTTACTAACATACAAAAATAAATAAGTTTACTAACATACAAAATAAGTGAATAAGCTTACCAACATACAGAAATAAGTGAGTAAGTTTACTAACATACAAAATAAGTGAGTAAGTTTACTAACATACAAAAACTGCGCATTATGGCCTAGAGTTGTGCTTTTTATTAATAATCAAAAGGTTGCAGTTAATCCAGCTTTCAAATGGTACCAGATGGTAACCTGCGATGGACTGGCATTCCATCCAAAGGTCATGTGTTTCAGTTAATGCAGCTTTCAAATGGTACCAGATGGTAACCTGCGATGGACTGGCATTCCATCCAAAGGTCATGTGTCACCATTTTTATCCACTTGTAGCACTGAAACTGGAGTTAAGAGCCGGACAAATACGACTTTGAGGAAGGTGCGGATTAAGTTTCGTTTACATATCAAAGTCCACTTGCACGTAGTGAATAAATTGTAAATAACATGTACTATGTGTGTGGATGTATCTAAGGCGTATTATAGAATTACTTGTACAATGTAAATATATCGTAATGGAATCATTGGTACGTTTTCAAGTATATCGTAAATTAACATTACAAAAATGTTTGTTGTTTTTTCGACTTGAAATTGCCCATGGTTACTCATGAATTCCACGAAACCGGTATAATTCAATGACATATAGCAAATCGAATGTTGTTGTTGTTGATTTCCGCTACCTGGACTTTCTGTGCTAGCCGCCCCAAATTTTAAAGTGGCAGACTAGAGGGGTGGGAGATAGTCAACACCATTGGCTACTCTGATGGACTAGTGGGACTTGATCGCCATCTATATAACGTGATTCCGAAGTGCGAAGCATTTTTTTTTTTTTGGTAACGAGGAGCGAATCTCGGATCCACAGTCCGGAACGCCAGCAACTGGGCCATGCTTGGTCTTGTTGAATCAATGATACACTGGGCTTAAATTTATCATTGAGTACGTCGTGAACATATAGTAATAGAATATTTAGTGTAAACTTCGTATCAAACAACAGTGTAAATACGATGTAATAGAATAATTACGACATAATGGGCTTGTGGTATGTTCTGAGTATATATGGTGAGTATAACTTATTGTTATCATTAGAATGCTTTGACCTTCTAATGGAATAATTAGTATAGTTTGATAATGCAGTTATAGGTATAATATAGTAAATAATAACTACTTTAGGACAATATCACAGCGTGAATATATATCGTAGTGAAATCACTAGTATAGGGTAAATACATGTTAATGAAACCAATATTGTGCTTAACTTGATCATAGTACTGTCACTATAGTACGCTACAAATAGACGTGATTGAATAACCTTTCGTTGCGGAAGTGATAAAAATGTTTAAAATATGTTTTGACAACAACAGTAAAATATAACAATGAGAAAATAATATAAATATTGTTTCTGTGGATCACTGCTGAAAATCAATTAATTAGTGAGCGGTTGAAAGGTTTCTTCTAATAATTGTAACTGATCTATACTGAGAATGGAAGGATGAATCCGAAAGTTCAATCTATTCAATCTAAAAAAGAGAAATGTGAAAAATAGAAATTTTGATGCTTACCTTGTTCGCTGTCTTGTCTTCCAGCCGTGATACCAAAATCTACAGAAGAAATCATTACCGTAAGTAAAAACCATCAGCGTTACATAATTTAGCACATAATCGATAAAAATAGCAAATCTATAAAAAGCCCCTGGGATATAATCAAGCCATTTAGAGCAGCTGCGTCTGAAAGTATTGACGAAACGCTGTAGTTTCTCTCTAGGTTAGTTCTATACTACCACTTACTCTATAGGTTCTACGGAAGCTGACATACCCACACACATTACATGTAACTAATAATACTGGATTATTGATCGTCTAGAGAAAAAAGGAAAGAACAAGTACTTTTTCCTGATGCTTATGATGTTTGTTAGGTTCATCATGGAATACAGGTGTCCAGTCACGATCCGCAAGAGATAAAGTAATATGTGACTAGAAAATTAATGTTTTATATAAGAATTACTTTTCTTAACCTCTTCCAACTCCTCATTGAAACTAAACATGTAAGACAAAAGGGTTTTAGTTAAAACCATATTAATTTTACTATTTATCTTAAAGAACCAGTATTTTTTATGTAGAAAGAAGGGTTTTAGTTAAAACTATATTAATTTTACTATTTATCTTATAGAACCTGTATTTTTTATGTAGAAAGAAGGGTTTTAGTTAAAACTATATTAATTTTACTATTTATCTTATAGAACCTGTATTTTTTATGTAGAAAGATTTGAAATACTTAATGGAAACTCGTCCAGGACTTAAAAATGACTGTAACAAACTTTTTGAAATATTCAACAATACATTTTTTGTGTAAGTAGAAAAGAAAATTAGTAAAAATATTGATACTTGTAATTTTTTTAAGTTCAGATTCTCATTTCTACATCTGGTGTTGTGAAAGCAAGAAAAAAACCCATGCAGCTGAAAGAAATAAGGATAAGTTTACATAAATACCAGTGACAAATCAGAAGATAATGTTTTATATATATATAAACCCTTGACGATATTAAGACACTTTACACGGCTGCATAATATACAACTGAAGAAAGACAGTCCATAACTCAAACGCAACACTACGGAAAAAAATATTGTTAATTTATAAACTGTTATCATGAAAATTAAATTCTCTAGTCCTCACAGTTCTTATAAATTATAAAACTTTATATTACTCACTGATAAAAAAAAACGATAGTTGATACTGAATTTTGGTTAGGTACAATCTACTAAATTTGCAATATTGAAGAGAAAATGTTGTTTCAAGCATTCAGTTTTCAAAGCTCAATAATTGTGGATTAAAACTGATGTTATTTACTTGTGACAAACCGATAGATGGAACGGAAACCTTTAACGGTAGGCGAAGACTGCAGCTGGTGACTTTTGAACTCCACAGTCATGGAGGGTCCATTTGACATAAGTTGTCGCGGAAGAGTACTACCGCAGTAGTTATTCAGGCGCTCTTGGTGACCTTTTATTGTAATGAAAACCATAACTGTATCGATCGGTCCTTCACAGCTATAATAAATATAACAAGAATATTTGTAATTTATGATTCACAACGAAGAGTAGAATTTTATTTGAAAAACGAAAAACTATATATGAAATTGTTCTTTTTTCACTCTAAACATGTATACAATTGAACAGTTGAATTTTTATATTATTAAAATATAAGTAGTTTTTAATTAATCGAAACAGAGAACAACATTAAGCTAACGTATTAATTCACTTTAACTACGGAAGTTCCCGAAGGTTTGCTGGGATAGGTTTTATATCATAAGCCTCACGATCAGTTTGTAATAAAGTTACTTTTTTATTATTTTTACTAACAGTATACTAACCCCAAAATGTTACTGATAAACAAAATATTTTGTTAGTTTCTTCAAATGTAAGATAAGTTTCTAAAGAATATAATAACTAACGCACCACCTCAACTTATAACTGTAGTCTATTTATTACATTGAGCTTCATGGTGGTTATTTTAACACATCTTTGTTTAGAAATTGTAACGTTAATTTCGTCCGCTGTTTTAACTTACTTTAAATAACTTTTTGGATACGTTTGTCCAAAGGATGGTGGTTTTAATGATCTTTCCTTTAGAAATGGGTATTTCAATGCATGCTTTTTTTGTTTTTTGTTTTTTACTGGATGACTCTTAAGGTGCATTTATTTTCAGAATGGCTTATCAATATGTTTGCCTACAAGATTGTTGTTTTAATGTACGTTTGTTTACAAGATGGCTGTTTTTTTGAAATATCGTTTTACTACACGTTTTTATGCATCTATTCATATCCACACACTACTTTAACGTAATTATTAACTTCTATAGAAAATCATTTCGATCCAACTAAATATAGAAACACTGATATTATGCTTTATCAAACGGTTTTCTAAATGTAAGATGACTATAGAACAAATGCAATGATCTATTTAAACTTTTCAAAAACAGTTTTTCTCTTGCAGAAACTCAAACAAAAATATATAGCAATATCTATCATTTTATGTTTTGTCATAGGATCTAGTAGGATATCACAGCTTTTATGATTTTCTATAGAACATTACTTTGAAGTAGAAAACACTAGATTATTGAGATAACTTCAGCATAAAGAATTTGCAAGAGACAAACTATTTCATTCTAAAGCGGAATCTATTTGACATAAAATAAGCTATATACGAACGTGGAAATTCGTAAAACAAATATCAAATATGTATACACTAAAAATGTTTGTAACGAATATTACAATAAATAAAAAAACATTTACCATTCGTTTTAACACATTTCACGAAGTTCTTGTTCAATGATTAACAGTTTTAATGATCCAAGAAGCATATTTACATATTTAGTGTGTTCAGCATATGACTAAATTCAAAAAGTCAGATAAATTGGGTCAAGCTTACCCTTTTATGGTAAACTTGAAACAGGAAAATGTCTATATTAACAATGTTACTTAAGACTTATTGGACGGAGCACAGATAGCCTATTGTGTAGCTTTACACTACAATAAACAAACAACACCCAGAGACTGAAGAAACCAATAGTTTTATAATGTATTAGATGTATTTGATAAATGTACAATGTTTTCAAAAACAAAAGAAACAGTTTTTATAATAACTATATGTACTTTTAAAGCACTCTTTTGCACATAGATAATCGACGATGATATTGATAAATGTTAAATCAGCCACATTTTCTGACTCAGAGGTAAAAGAACAACTATAATATACAGTACGATGTCCATCATATCATTTACTTATGGTATTTACAATGCCATCTTATAATACAAAGAAATATGTCTGTAGAGCTCAATGGATTTTGTAGGTTACACACTGATCTGAATACACAAATACGGGTCATAAAAAAAATAACCCAGTAGAGAGAGAGAACAGTAAATTGAAGCTCACAGATATCAAACTGTTATTAACTGAGAACACAAATTGAATGTAATAAGGAAATGTATAGGATTTCCCCACACTTCGTGATATAGCTTATTTTGACGTTTTTGACACTTTCTACGTAAATATCGTCAACGACACCAGACTTTTATACAATATAAATTACAAAGAATGTGTTAAATACGTTCACGTTACATAACTCCATCCTTGGACCAATAAATACTGTGAGTACCCTGTTGGACATACAGTTATATTTACTACTGATATTTCTGATTTTAAACTCGTATTTGAATTTCAAAAATGTCTATTTTTACCCTCAAGGAAACTGTATCACCCAGTTCTCCCTTAATAATTTATAGAAAATTAAAAGCTGTGTAGAAGACAGATATCACCACTGTACGTCAACACTCGGATAAAGAACGAGCTTTTATTGGATTGTGGGTGACAGAAGTTAAGAAAACTCTTGAATGTGGATAACAGATAATCAATATTTATCCAGAGGATAAATACGTGTATTTTTAAAACTTTAAAACAGGAAAGTGCAGGATAGTCTGCACACTACAACACGATAGAGTCACAATAAATCTATATGCTCAAGTGTGTGACGAAATACAATGTCTTCATGTGAATGTCCATACTAGTCCAGGTAGAAGACCTGTTTCCAGAATATAACTAAACTCATGTCCGATTCTTTTAAACTTGTTAAAGATGTTACCAACAATGAAGTCACTGCTCTCCACAAGCACTGACACGAATATTTTCATCAGCTAAACCAAACAAACATCTTTTTTGCAGCCGTCACCACCATTCACACTTGCCCAAAGACGTTTAGTTATCATTCGATTGTTTTAAGTCTTACAAAATATAAATGAAATTTAAAAAGATGCTTCGTGAACGTAAAGATGACAATAAATTTGTAAAGGTTATTTGAAATTTTTGACACTTACAGACTGTTGAGATTCCTATGTTATTCGATAGGAAAAAGAGAGTTAACCTGATTCTTATTTTTTTTAAATATATACATGTACGATCTTTTTCGTTGTAGAGCATAAAACCAAATCATTCTTTTTTTCTTTTGAACTTTTATATAGTACAAATACACACCTTTTAAAAAAGAAACAAGTCCAATACAGTGCTTTAAGAGTCGTTATCTATTTGTGGACTCTCGATTGTGAAAGTTTCCTTGAATTGTATGGAATGCCCGAACATAACTGATAACAGAAGATAAATAACGACATATTCAATGTGATATTTATATTGATTATTTTAATCCACGCTCGTGGGCTTTCTTAACTTATTCTGTTACTCAATTTCTAATAAAACTCATTCTTCATCTGAGAAGTGACATATATATTGTATAAAAGTCTGATGGCGTTGTCTACGTAAATCAGTATCGCATTTATTTCTTACGTTATATTTTTGTTCCCAGTTAACGACAGTTTGTATCTAAGAGCTTCAACTTATTGTTCTCTCTCTCCTGGGTTCACTTAAGACCCATACCTATGATTTTTAACTAATGTTCGACTCAGCAGTTTCTAAAAGATATATTTCGATATACTATAAGATGAAATTCTAACTGTCATAAGTAACTGATATGATGACTATCAGACTGTCTAGCACAGTTGTTGTTTTCAACTTTAGGTTGGAAGATACGGTTGATTTAACGTATGTGATTATCATCGTCGTTGATCTATTAGTCAAACAGAGTTAAAACGTACATTTAGTTATTTATGATAATTCTTTAGTCTTTGGATTTTATTTCAGCACAAAGCTGCACAATAGGCTATCTGTACTTTGTCAATATTGTTTTTGGCAACTTTGTTAATATAGACATTTATTTTCTGGCCTCTCAAGTTTATCATAAAAGGCTAAGCTTGGCCTATATCTATCTGACCTTTGAGCATTAATCATATGCTGACAATTGACAGCAAGTTGCAAAATATACACGTCGCAGGATACACTGAATGTTTCACCAAATGTGCTTCTTGTAACATTAAAATTGTGAGTACTGACGCAAGAAACTCGCGACAGGTTACTATCAGTATCAGTATGAAAATGAATCGCCAATATTTCTTGTTTGTTATAATATTCGTCACAGACATTTTGAGTATATACATATTTAAGGCTTGTTTTGAGCACGATTCACGTTCTTTTATGGCTTATTTATTATCAAACACGTTTTACTGTAAAATAACAAAGTTTTGTCAATTATAAATGAGCAACATCAGCTCCTTATGTCAAAAGATTATACTTACTAATTGTCTAGTGATTCGCCAATATTTCTTGTTTGTTATAATATTCGTCACAGACATTTTGAGTATATACATATTTAAGGCTTGTATTGAGCACGATTCACGTTCTTTTATGGCTTATTTATTATCAAACACGTTTTACTGTAAAATAACAAAGTTTTGTCAATTATAAATGAGTAACATCAGCTCCTTATGTCAAAAGATTATACTTACTAATTGTCTATTGATCTAGTGTTTCGTACTTCGAAGTTACGTTCTACAGAAAATCATAGAAGTTATGAACTATATCAGGTGCTATGAGAAAATATAGTATAGTAAATGTTGCTATTTATGTTTCGCTTAGTTTCTACAGTAGTAAGTTTGTTTTATGAAAAGTATATTTGTTCTACAGTACATCTTTCATTTAGAAAACCATTTTTGACATAGCTTATTATCAGTGTCGCTATATTCATTTAGAACAAAATGATTTCCTATAGAGTTTAATAACAAGAGTTCAACAATCAGATGTGAGAATGAAAAGAGGGGTATATATAGGTCATGAAGAATTGAATACAGTATTACTATTTATTGTTTTGCTTTGACACGAAAATATCTACAGTATGAAGGCCTTAGGTTAACATAACCAGAAAAAAGTTATTTTCATGTATTTGTATTTCTAATATAATTTATATATATATATGTATAGTCATGCATGTAAAACCATAAAGTCAAAATGTATTACATGAAAGCTAATTAGTGCGATACATGAAATGTATGCAGAGTTTGAATATTTTATTGCCTAGATTGTAAGTTAAATTAGATGTATGGTTATTAGTAAGTTTAGCTATTATATAAACTGCAATATCTAAAATAATCTTACGTGGTCAAAAACGC